CCTCGCACCACGCGAGACCGGGAGGGACCTGTCCCCGAAAGGGGTCAGGACCAGCGCCCTTGTTTACGTAACCGAGTCCTTGTTTATGGCCTGGAAAAGGATAACTTCCTGTCATTGTTTCCAAAAAAGCAAAATCATGGAAAATTTTTGGCAGGAGCAGAGGAAAGAGCTATTTTCATCCCGCTGCCACTCCGCTGCCCGCCACTGGGTGGCGCGTGCCCGGCAGCAGGGCGGCTCCACGGGCTGCTCTGCTCTCAAGGCCTGCGGAGTCGGGAGGGTTTGTCCTTCGAGTGTCTGTTTCTCAGCAAAGACATCCCTTCTTCCGAGTTCAAGCCCCTGTCATTCAGCGGGAGTGTGTGTGTGTCCCGTAGTGCTGTCCTCAGTTTTCCACAAAACACACACACACACACACAGATGAAGCAGCCACTGCGTCAGGGGCCCTAAACGAACCCCCGGCTTTCCCTGGGCTGAAAAGGAGGAGAAGATGGATCAGCAAGCTGTTCTCCCCCGTGGCCGTGGACGGGATCGAGGCTGTGAGGATGTCACTGTAATCAGTGTAATCAGTGTAATCAGAACTCGGGGTCTTCTTCGCTTCGCGTGCGTGTGCTCTGCCAGTCGTCGCGTTATTCCACGTGAGGGAGCGCGTCGGGCGCCCCGCCCTGGGTGCCTCTGAAACGGGACCCCAGCCTGAGTCACGTCCTCCGACCGGAGGGACTGTATCTCCGCTGAGGGAGCCGGGACTTCTGCCCGAAGGGAAACATCGAACGAAACCAAGCGAAAGCTGCCGTCAGAAGCTGCGGCTCCCGCCCCGTGTCCCGCTGCCGGGAAAGCTCAGCCTTCCTCGCGCCCTCAGGACGGCGAAGGCTGGGTGTTTAAAACGTTCGAATGCTCCCCTCTCAGCCGGGACAGCTCGGGGTTCACGGTGCGGTGCTTCCGAGTTGGATTGTACAACGTGGTGCTTGACGCTCTCAGTTTTAAACGTGAGTCTCCAGTTTCATGAAACGTGTTCCCTGGTTGCTGGGAAGCACCGGGCGGTGGGCCGAGGCGGCTCCGTGGGGGCGTGACGGCAGGTGCCGCGGAGCCTTGCCTTCCCGCGGACGTCTCCGCTGTGGGAGCGGGGCTGGGATTTCGTCTTCAGGAGCCCAGATCTACGCTGCCGGGGGCCATCGCCCACCCGGCCTTACGTGCGCCTCCTTTGCGTTCTTCAGCCGAAGGGGATGGGAACGGGCCCCTTGCTGTCACGTGTGAAGAGGAGTGAGACCATTTGGCGGAACCACCCGGAACGCAGGCGCCTGCTCTGCGTCGGGCGGGAGTTTGGGGTCTAGCTGTTGGGTCGAGAGAGAGAGAGAACCTGATACTAAAGCGAGCGAACAGGTCACCTGGGGCTCAATCGGACAATCGGCGCGGCCACCCCGAGCGGAAGAAGCTCAGGCCGCTGTGATCACAGAGGCAGCTCGCGCCCTAGGGTTTACCGTCCCGCCCTGAGTGTGACTCGCGCTCTGAGAGCCTAGGGAGACCCATGTATATATTGTCCTCTGTGGCTGGTGCTGTGATGGAAGATATCATGTATTAAAATGTGTTTTGTACGAGCCTCCTGTCTCAGTGAGTGTGATGAAGTGAGTTTAAGGCCGTTGTGCACGTTACAAACTGCCGTCGCTAAAGACAAGGACACGTTACACATCAGCAAGGCTGTGCAGGCTCATGAGCACATTTTAGCCTCTCGGCAACGAGGGGGGTGGAGACGAGATGGCGGACACTCGTCTTGTTTTCCACGTGGAAGCTAGCGTCTGCGGACCAGTGTCCCAAACTCATCCCATGGGAGGGCTGAGTTCCTGCAGATGGGCGCCAGCATAGCAGCAGCCCTGGGCGTGGGTGTCAGAGGGCTGAGCTCCTGCAGGCGGGGGACCAGCATGGCAGCAGCCCTGGGCTGAGAGGTCAGAGGGCCGCCCTGCTGAGTGTGACCTGGTCAGCTGCCCAGGAGAGAAAGGGCTCCCCCAGCACCCTGGTTCCCAGTGTCCGTTCAGTCTGGACCCCACAGATGCCTGGGGCTGGCCCTGCATTGGCCCCACAGGCAGGAAAGGCTGGCGTTTCTGTCACCTGCTCCCTCTCCCGCCTGCTCCCAGCTCCCTGGCCCCAGCGTTCCCCTCACGCCTTCCGGCTGGAACCGGTCTCCCTGGGACACCCGGGCGCCTGAGCCCCGGTTAGAAGCACTCACCTTCCCCGAAGGCCATGGCCTCACTCCCTTCCCATCCCGATGGGCCAGCCTCGGCTCCAGGCCCCAGGACAGGGGTCAGGTCCAGGGAGGAGACTCCAGGGACAGCCAGAGCCCTCGCCATCGTGGCCGGGTCACCCCCAGCCACAGTGGGGTGCCCACCTCAGTGCCAGGCCCCGCGGGTGCGTGCCTCCGCCAGTCCGGGAAAGTGACCAGACCTCACACAGGAACTGCGGGGCGAGTCCGGCTCAGAGGCCATTCACGGGGCGTCTGGCGTTGTGTCCGTGACTGAGAAGAGCACACGTCTGGGGTCTGTTTGAGAAGCAGAGTCCAGCAACAGGAAGAAAATGAAAACCACCCACAACGGTGCCCCCAGAGGCGACTGCGCATTCACCCGTCTTCCTGGGCAGGCGCCTGTTCAGAGTCCAGTTCATGCTCCCTGTTCCCGCCCGCACCCCTTCTGGGGGGTCGCACAGCCAGTGGTGTCCTCAGCGTGAGTGAGAGCAGCCGCCTCTCACAGTCCCGCTAGGAGGGGAGAAGGGCCTGTGCATTCACAACCCCACAGGGAGTGTGACACACGCCTTGGCTGGGCTCCCCCTGGCCTGTGGGCCTGCGTGTGGACGTGAAGGCCTCTCAGGTCCTGGGGATTCGCTTTATCTCTTTTTTAAAAAAAATATATTTTACTGATTTTTTACAGAGAGGAAGGGAGAGGGATAGAGAGTCAGAAACATCCATGAGAGAGAAACATCTGATCAGCTGCCTCCTGCACACCCCCCACCGGGGATGTGCCCAGCAACCAAGGTACATGCCCTTGATCAGAACCGAACCCGGGACCTTTCAGTCCGCAGGCCGACGCTCTATCCACTGAGCCAAACTGGCCAGGGCGATTTGCTTTATGTTAACAACAACCACAACCACAACCATAGAAACAAGGCTGGAGCAAGCCGCTCCTGGGCATCTGGGAAACTGCCCGAAGCTCCGTCTTATTGCCCGGGCATCTCGGCCGTCCCCGCTGCTCCTGCTCCCGGTTCGCATGCGGGTGCTTATGTTTTTCCCGCGCCAGCCGCGCCCCGCACCAGCCACGCTCCACACCAGCCGCGCCCCACACCAGCCGCGCCCCGCACCAGCCACGCTACCCAGCCACCAGCCACGCTCCACACCAGCCGCGCCCCACACCAGCCGCGCCCCACCAGCCGCGCCTAACCAGCCGCGCCCCCACCAGCCAGTGCCAGTGCGCCACCAGCCGCGCCCCACACCAGCCGCACTCCCACCCCCACCAGCCACGCTCCGCACCAGCCGCGCCCCAACACCGCCCAGTGCCAGCGCGCCCCACACCACCACCACCCGACGCCCCACACCAGCCGCGCCCCACACCAGCCGCGCCCCACACCAGCCACGCCCCACACCACCAGCCACGCGCCCACACACCAGCCCCCCCACACCCCGCCACACCAGCCCGACCCCCCACACCAGCCGCGCCCCACACCAGCCGCGCCCCACACCAGCCACGCTCCGCACCAGCCGCACCCCACACCAGCCGCGCCCCACACCAGCCGCACCAGTCGCCGGGCCGACCAATCCCCGGCCTGCCGACACCACCGGCTGGAGAGAGTGTCAGACCCCACAGACACACCGGCTGCCCCCTGGATGATCTACTTATTAGGAAAGGACACAGCTCAGGAGCTGCCAGACGGGAGGGGGCAGAGGGAAGGTGTGTGGGAAGGCACCTCCCTCTCCCCACATCGCCAGGGGTGCCCCCGGCTGGAAGCTCTCTGAGCCCATCGGGGTGTCCCTGGAGGCAGCAGCCATAGTCATGCGTGATGAGAGCGTTGGCCTTGATTCAAGGCCGCCCTCTCCCCTCCTTGAAGGTCAGAGGGTGGGACCAGGGTCCCGACGCTCTGGTCACACAGCTGGGCGGGCATGAGGCGCCATAGCAACCATCACACCTGTCCAGTCCCCCCCAAGCCCTGCTCAGTGGGGGAAGCCCGCGCCCTCACCCCCTTTTCTTACGTTAAACCTCTCGGGCAGTGGCCCTGGTGGCCACGCCTCTTGGGAATGAGCTCTCGGCGCCCACTTCCTGTTGGCAGGGACCGCACCAGGTCAGAGGCCTTGGGTGTCAGCAGGGACCCCCCATCAGGGACCATGGACAACATGAGCCGCGTGTCCCTGCCCTGCAGCGGCTGGGAATGTGCGGAAGCCGTAGATGCCGGGTGAGCATTCAGCGCCGGCCCTCGATGAAGGGCCCGCCTGTCACAGGACCCACATGTGTTGTCCAGTGTGCAGGGGGGGGACACGTAACTTCACCCCGTGGGGCTCCCAGCCCCGAGGGGAGTGGCAAAGCTGATCTCATAGGAATTCTCCCAGACCCTCCCTCGGGCAGCAGGGACCTCAGGTGGTCAGAAGCAGGGACCCTGCAGGGCGCCCTCCTCTCCACGCTCAGAGCAGCCAGGCGGTGGGATGGGCTGGGGTGGGGGGGTGGGGGGTAAGCTCATGTGACCTGGCAGAGGGCGGGCCTCTCATCCAGCGCCCATTTCTTTTCCTTTTATTTTTTAATATAGCATTTTGTTTTGTTTTTGATTCCAGAGAGGAAGGGAGAAGGAGAGACAGAAACAACAATGATGAGAGAGTCACTGATCGGCTGCCTCCTGCACACCCTCTCCTGGGGGTCAGGCTGTAACCCCGGCCTGTGCCCTGGCCGGGACGAACCGTGACCTCCTGGCTCCTAGGTCGCAGCCCAGCAGGGAGCCACGCGGGTCAGGCGGGCACCCCCTTCTCTCCAGCTGGCGGAGATGCCCCTCCCGCGACTGTTGGCACCCGGACAGACTTCCAGGAAGCCGGCCGCGCGCCCTGTGCGCCAGGCCTTGGGGGACGTGGTTGGGCGGTGACCGGCCGCCGTCGCTTGGCACCCACTCTCTTCCCGCCGGCGTGTCCGCTCACGTCCCACCCGCAGATGTCGGCCTCTGGGCGGCTTCGGCGCCACGGGCCAGGCACCTCCTCTCCGTGGACGCGGGCCGTGCGGTGCCCAGGGCGGGCGGCAGGGGGCGCTGCGCGGCGGGCGGGGGCCGGAGCTCCGCGCCCCGTCTTTGTGCCGTTCGCGCCGCCGCCCCGTCTCCCGCCGGCCGCGCGCCCCCGAGGCCGGGCCGGGATAAAGGGCCGCGGGCGGGCGGGCGGGGCGCAGGCGGCGGACCCGCGCGCACACCCACCCGCGACGCCGGACTCGGGCGGAGCGTTCGGAGCCTACGGCGGCCGAGCAGGAGCCGGGACCCTGGAGCACGGCGCGCGGGACCCGGTGCGTGACGCGCGTCCCCTTTGTGTCGTGTGGGCATCGGGGGAGCGGGGAGGGGCCCGGGGCCCGGGATGCGGCCGCGCGGAGCGGTCCGGGCGCGCGGGCGGGACCGTGGGCTCCGGGCCGAGGGCGCCACGCTGGCCCGGCCTGCCCAGCGGTGGCCTCGGCGCCGCGGCCACTTGGGAAGCGCGGGTCCCCCCTCCACGCCGCGCGCGGGTTCCTGGCGCCCCGGCTCGGGGGGCGGCGAGTGCCGCGGGGCGCGCAGGCCGCGGAGGGCGAGGTCTGGGAAGGGGCGCCGAGGGCACCCGCTGCGCACACCCCTGGCGCCCAGCGGACCCTGGCCACCTGCCTGCCGCCACGCCTCTGCCCTCCGAGGGGCGGGGGGCGGGGGGCGGGGGGCTGGGGCCGTCCCCTGCGGGTCTCCCCAGCTCCCCCCGAGCGCGGCGGCCCCGCCCGTGGGGCACCCAGCCGGCGAGGCTTGTGCGCACCTGGCGCTCCAGGCTCGGGAGAGAGGGGTTCCTTCTTGTACCCTAATGCTCCCCATGGGGAGGCTCAGAGGGTCGCCCCAAATGTGTGCGCGCTGCCTCCCCCCCCCCCCCCCGCCCCCCCCGCCCCCGGTTAATTACAAAAAAAGAAAAAAGCATTCCATTCTGCAGCGGTGTCACCTGGTTCCTGCCCAGGTGGGAGGCAGGTGAGGGAGGGAGTGAGCGCTGGGGGGTGGAGGGGTAGAACCTGCACTAAGAGGTGACCCCCAATCTTGCCCCTGCAGTTCAAGGAGGAAACTTTCCTGGGGGAGGGGCCGGAGTTAGTGAAGGCCCAGGTGAGGCAGGCCAGGCCCAGGGCAGAGCTCCCACCCACAGAGGTGCTGGGGAGTGAAGGCCGAGGGCGGTGGGCCCAGGCCTGTGGGCGCTGCTGGAGGTGCCCCCGGAGGGGCCGGGTCGCTCTGAGCGGGAGGGGAAACTTGGAGGTGGGCCCGATGGGATGGCAGGAAGGGCCTGGCCTGAGGGCTGCCCAGGCAGAGGAGGAGGGGAGGGGGCACGAAGGGGTGGGGGGTGGGGCCCTGTCCCAGGTCCTGGGGCCAGGCAGGCACTCCGTGGTGTGTGACTCCCTCCCCCAGTCCTGGCAAGAGGCACCCCGTCTTTTGCAGCTTCCTAGTGCCTTTCTAAGTCTTGCTTTCATTATTTTTTAAAGAGTGCAAAGAGGTCATGCCCGCAAAGGTCAGATGGGAAGAGGTCACAAAATCGGGGACTTCCAGGCGAGCTGGTCGTGACCCTGTGGCAGTGGGAGCCATGGAGGGTTGTAGAGGAGGAGAGTGGGCGAGCTGGCCCTGGTGACCGAGGCCGCGTGGAGGGAAGGGGGCGTGTGGCGTGTGAGCCTCAGAACCCCGCTCCCCACCGGCACTGCTTATCGCCGTCCGGCCTGGGCCCAGGTCCTCCTGGGAAAATGGGCTGCAAATGACCGCATTCTGACAGCATGGAAAACGCCCAGCCTCGGCCCAACTGGTGTTTGGGAGTTTATATGGTTATAATTCAATTTAAAAAAATAATTTTTTATTGATTTCACAGAGGGAGGGAGAGGGAGAGAGACAGAAGCATCAGTGATGAGGGAGAATCATGGACCGGCTGCCTCCTGCACGCCCCCCACTGGGGATCGATTGAACGCACAACCCGGGCCTGTGCTCTGACCGGGAATCGAACCGTGACCTCCTGGGTCATAGGTCGACGCTCACTGAGCCACCCCGGCCGGGTGGCAGTTTATGTGTTTACAGGGGCCTCATCTCACGTCAGCAACCTTGGAAGGGGAAGTGAGGGGGTGACCTCAGTGCCGGGGCAGAGCTGCGGGCGCGGATGCGGATGCGGGCACCCAGGCGGCGAGGCTGGGACAGGAAGCTGCAGCGCGTTCAGGTTCCCACGCTGTGGGGCTGTGCTGGGCCAGGGCTCCGAGAGCGAGAGCGTGTGGCCCCACGAGGCGCCCTGGAGTGCGGCTGCCCTCGCGGTTTGAGACCCACACGGTTCAGCTGCAGCCGCTGACGCCTCTTCGGGGGGGCGTGCCGCTCGGCAGGGCCAGGCGCTGTGGCTCCTAGGAGGCCCTGCTGCCGGCTCCTCCTCTGAAAGCCTTTCTTTCTTTTTAAAAAAATATGTTTTTATGGACTTCGGAGAGGAAGGGAGAGGGGGAGAGAGAAACATCAGTGATGAGAGGGAATCATGGACCGGCTGCCTCCACGCCCCACACTGGGGATCGAGCCCACAACCCAGGCCTGTGCCCTTGACTGGGAATCGAACCGTGACCTCCTGGTTCATAGGTCGACGCTCAACCACTGAGCCATGCGGCCGGGCTGGGAGCCTTCCTTTGTGGGAGAGGCAGGAGGAGGCTTGTCCCAGCCAGGATCCCAGAGCGAGGCGGTCGATGGGGCTCCTTGCCCAGCCCCTCCTGGTGACCGGGAGGACCGGTAGGCTCAGAGCTGAGGCCAGGGACCCTGGTCACAGAGGGCTGTGCCGGCCCAGCCTGGCCTCCGCTCTCCTCGGCACTCAGGCCAGCTGCCCACGGGTCTCGGGGTCCCGGCCACTGAGGGCTATGGGGGTCCAGCCTGGCCTCCGCTCTCCTGGGCACTCAGGACAGAGGGGCCGGGGTGGCCAGCTGCCCGCGGGTCTCGGAGTCCCGGCCACTAAGGATGCTGTTGAGCTGCAGACTTCCCAGGCACCTGGCCTGACAGGGACCCCCGCATTTCTGGGGTGCGGGACAGCAGGGCAGCCCCGAGGCCAGAACAGAGTGGGGTGCTGCTAAGGAAGACAGACGAGCCTCTCCACGGCCACTAGGGTAACTTCCTGCCTTGGACCCCCAAGAGGCACATGGAAGGAGCCTTTCTCAAAGCCTCGCAGCCACCTGAGGGCATCGTTCCGGCCAGCCTCCCTCCTGGCGGCATGGCTCACACCTGGATGCCTGTTCCTAATTAGAGGAAGAAGTTACATGGAAGCCCACTGCGCACCCACCTGCCGGGGCTGAAGGACGGAGCCTGTGCCACTCAGGACCCAGCCGTGTGACCGTGGTGTGTCTTCACCTCCCTGCGTGGCCCCAGCTTGCACGGTGGGGATGAGTGTCAGCTCTGGACGGAGGCTATAGACCTGCTGAGAGCACAGCCCTGGCCGGGAGGCGGCAGGACCCCACCATCCTGGGTCCTGTGGTCGTGCGGACAGCAGGCAGCACCCACTCCAGCCTTGTGGACAGTGGCCTGTGTGGCCGGCTGGAGGTGGCAGGTTGTGTGGGGCACCCGGGGAGCAGGGGGCGATGGGGCCGGATGGCCTTGGCCTCGCCCTCCCGGGCTCGAGTCCAGCAGGGAGACGAGCTGCGGGAAGAGGTGCCCACCCCGGGGTGTGTCCGGCCTCGGCAAGGAGGCAGCCGCGCGCTCTGCCGAGACCGCAGCCCTTTCTGCTCTGTCTCCTCCGAGCGTGAGCGGCCCCCGAGCCCAGCGGGCAGTGGTGGGCGGCCGGGGAGGGCGGGCAGGGCCGGATGTGCCAGAGAAGGAAGGAAGGGGCGTCTTTATTCCGTCAGCTTGGGGACCCCACGAACCGCCTCTGCGTGGGGGTGCTAGGCGTGCTCACTGGTAGCTCACGCCTCCCCTCGTCCTCGCGCGCAGGCCCGGCTGCAGGAGCACACGTGTCCCCACTTCACGGGTTCCAACCTGATCCCCAGTGTGATGGGACCGGAGGCAGTGGGCGCCGTTATAAAAGGGACCCAGACCCTCCGTCCTGTGGGGACACAGTGAGAGGTGCCGAATGTCAGCCGGGAAGAGCGCTCCCCAGCCCCGACGGGGGCGCCTTGACTCGGGCTCCGGCCTCCGAAACTGGGAGGAATGAAAGTCTTGCTTATAAGCCCCCCTCCCACCTGTGGGATGTTTGTCAAGATTGTCAAACTGGTGTGGCTCAGTGACTGAGTGTTGACCTGTGAACCAGGAGGTCATGGTCAGGGCACAGGCCTGGGTTGCGGGCTCGATCCCCAGTGTGGGGCGTGCAGGAGGCAGCCGGTCCATGATTCCCTCTCATCACTGATGTTTCTCTCTCCCCCTCTCCCTTCCTCTCTGAAATCAGTAAAATGTATTTTTTAAAAAAGATCATCCGAATCGGCTAAGACCGGCAGAAGTTCCTGGTCACAAGTCCCGTGGAGTGGGGCCCGCTCTCTGGATTGTGCGGTAACTCGCTCATCTGCAGAGACCTGAGCAAGGTCCCATTCACAGACCCTGGGGTTCGGAGTTCCACCCCAACACCCACCTAGCAGGGTCAGGAGTGCGTGTTCGCACGGACGGACAGGACAGAACACCACCAAGGACCCGGCACAGGGGTTCCGTGTGCTCGGCAACGGGATGCTGAGGGCGTGGTGCTGGCGCCCGTCCGTGGCTCAGCGCTGTCACTGGGACCCCGATGCCCTTTGTGGCTCCGCCGTCCTGGGCTGTTACCTTTGCGCTCTGAGGGCAGCCGGGGCCCGATGGCTCCCGGTGCTGCGGGCCCCGTCTGTGTGTACGGGGGCAGGAGAGGCGGGGAGGGTGGGCCGGCCCCCTCTGTCCCTGTTATTGGAAGGAGCCGGCTTTCCGGAAGCGCCGCGAGGCTACCTCTGTCCGTCTCCCTGGCCCGGGCTTCATGGCAACTCCCGGGAGCGAGAGGAGCTGAGACCGCGAGGCGGCGGGAGCCCAGGACCGTCCTGGACAGGACCGGCCCCGCGTGTGTGAGGCAGACGGCGCCTTAATAAACTGTCCGCCTCGCCCTTGCAGGCGGGTCCAGACCACCGTGCCGCGGCCGTTAGGTGTGAGCATCTGCAGCTTGGGGTGCAGTGAGGGCCGGGACCTCACAGTCCTACTGTGCTCAGCTGCGTGTCCCTTTGCAGCCGGCACGGTGCCTGGCGCATAGGAGGTGCTCGAATATTTGTTGAACCCATCAGCCGTCTTTTCCCTCAGACACATTCGAGCCCAGAAACCATCTCATCCGTTCACATTCTTCCTTTTGTCCGTTTGTCCGTTCGCGTGGCAGGAGGCTTGTGCTGGGGCTCGAAGGCAGATGGAGGAACACAGTGCGGCGAGGTGGGGGGGCTGGCGAGAACGAGGTGGGGGGGTCTGCAAGCTGCAGGACAGGTGTTCATCTCTCAGACTTTGGGGATCATAGAAGTGGCAGGTTCTCTCAGCAGAGCCACCCGCTGGGATGCAGAGGAGCCCCTTTTACCCGCATGCGGCTTATTGCCGTTCCTCCTGTTTGCAGACGAGCTCAGCATCTGCCATGCTCACTGATACTGCCCAGGCCCACCCGGAGCGGGTGCTGGGCCGCGCCAGGCGCGCCGCGTTCTTAAAGGAACGTGCCCTTCGCGCCGGGAGGGGCCGAGGGCGCATCCCTCATCCGTGAGTACTGCGGTCCTCCCGGGTTCTTTCTCGCGTGGCCCGAAGCCTGGATCCTTGGCAGCGACCTTGTTTTCGCTCAGTCCCTGGCCACGTGCAGCAGGTCCGGCTTTGTCCAAGAGGACGGCTCTGCCGCTCCCCGGGGCCTTGGCCGTGGCTGCCGGGCCGGCGGAGAGGGCTGCGCTCTGAAGGATCGTGTGCATCTGGGGGGGCAGGGCCTCGGGGACAGTGGGAGCCGGCCAAGGGCAGGCAGGCAGGCAGAGCGTGCACCCCGAGAGCCGGGCTGTCCAGGCGGTGGCCGCTGTCCCCACGGGGTGTTGAGCCCGTGGCCGGTGGCTGAGCACCTGGGGCTACAGTCCCGCCCAGACCTCAGGTCCCATCCGAGACCTTTGACCTCTGGCCGTGTCCCTGTTCCTGTAGAAAGTGGGAACAGTTCTAGGGAGACTTCTTTCTTTGGGTCTCCTCTGAGGAGTCGATACATAAAAAGTTTTAAAAAAAGCTGTGAAGGCCGAAGAAAATTTAAACAGAAACGTTGAAGGCCTGTCCGGAGGGCAGAGGCACAGCTAGCCCTTGGAGTTGGGGGCGGGCGAGGCAGCCGGGTGCGAGATGTGAGGGGTGGGGGTGGGGGTGGGGGAGGCTCTGGGAATTGGGACAGAGGCTGCCTGGCGCTCTGATTCCATCTGGAAGCCATTTCCGGGTGGATAAATCCTGCCCTCAGTCCGCAAGGACGGGGAGGATTAGCCCCACCGAGCCCGTTGGTGCTCTCAGCGGCTGTCAGCCAGCGCTGGACGGGACCCGCGTGCAGCGCTGCCTTCGCCCTTCTCTCCACAGTCTTCTCCTTGGACTGTGGCTTCGCTTGTTTCCAGCGAGAATGCCAGGAGCCCGCGGCGTTGCTGGTGGGGCCGGCAGACCCGTGGCTGCGGGCTGAGCTTAGGGACCTTCTTTCCTGGGAGGCGCAGGCCCTGGGGGCTTCTGGGCGTCTTGACCTTCACCCTGTCACCCAGCCTGAGGTGGTCGGTGTCACTGACCTTTCTGAGCCAGCTCTGGGCTTTGCTGTTCTTCTCTCGCTCTCCTGCGGGTGGCGCCGCTGCCTCCTGCTCACCTGGTCGGTCGCAGAGCTCACGATGTCCTGGGGCTCCCCTGAGACGGGGTCCTTGGCCCGTGCGTTCCTCACAGACGTGCTGTTTACCCCCCCGATGTTTGGGGGTTTCCCCGCGTCTTCCAGCGCGTGGTTCCGGGCGAGCCCCGTGTTGATGGGGACGCTGACTTTGTCTGAGGTCTGCGGTGTTTGGTGATCCGTTCAGGGTGGTGTCACGGCCGACAGTGTCCCGCGTGGGCCCGGGGAACGCGTCTCCTGCTGTGGTTGGGGGAGGTGCTCTGTGTGTCCGATGAGTCAAGCGGACGCTCGTGCTGTTCGGGTCAACGCGCTCTTGCTGACCGTGTGCGCCTGCGTCTGTCGGGGGCTGAGCAGGGTGGTGGGGCCTCGAAGGATCGCAGTCGATCGGCTGCTCCGCCGGGTCTGCCGGTCGTGCTGTGTGTCTCGATGCCGTGTGGGTAGGTGCGTGCGTGTTTCGTGGTGTTTTGTCTTCTTGGAGGAATGACCCCTTTCGTCAGGCGGCCGCCCTCTTTGTCCTGAGGACGTCCTTGCTCTGGAGTCCGCTTCGTCTGAAACGAATGTAATGACTCCAGCTGTTTTTTTGCTTGGAATTAGCATGTTTTGTCGGCCTCCTTCCCTTCAAGCTGTCAATCATTTCCCTTATCCACATGCTATAGTCACCTAACACATGGTTATTTTTTTAAAAATATATTTTATTGATTTTTTTACAGAGAGGAAGGGAGAGGGATAGAGAGTTAGAAACATTGATGAGAGAGAAACATCGATCAGCTGCCTCCTGCACACCCCCTACTGGGGATGTGCCCGCAGCCAAGGTACATGCTCCTGACTGGAATCTAACCTGGGACCCTTCAGTCCGCAGGCCGATGCTCTATCCACTGAGCCACACCAGTCAGGGCTCACATGGTTATTTTTACTGATAACCAGTCTTCCTGTTTGAAGTATGTTTCTTCAGACAACATATCGTTAAGTCTTGCTTTTTTTTTCCCCCCGTTCTGAAGATCTCTACATTTAACTGGCGTATTTAGCTTATTCGCATTTGAAGTGATTATTGCTAGAGTTGGTTCCTATCGACCGTGCTCGCAGAGGCTCCCTATGTTATTACCTTTGGCTTGTTTGCGTGTGTGGTGTCGGGAGAGAAATCAGCTCTGACTCCTTTTCTTACTCCTCTAGGAGTCCCGTGTCTTTGGTTTTTGCAGTTGAATACGGTCGGCCTAGATGGACGCCTTTGGTGTTTATCCTGCTGGACGTTCTGTGAGCGCCCTGAAGCTGTGGTTTGTGTCTCATTGATTTTGGGAAAACGCTTGGCCATTCTTGCTTCAAATATTTTCCTGCTCTGTGCTCTCTCTCTCTTCCTTCTGAGTTTCAATCACGCATATCTTGCAAATTTTGAAATTACCTTGGGGATTTTATATATAAATATATTTTAATTCTCTGGCTTGTTGTTTATAATTCGGGAATTTCCTGTCGCCCTCACGTCAGCCTCACTGACTTTCTTCTTGGTTGCGTTCAGTCTGTTGGTGAGCCTCATACAGGCTTTCTTCATTCTTGACAATGTTTTTATTCTAGCACTTCCTGTGACCGTTATTTTGAATTCCCTCTTTCTGCTTCTATAACCCATTGGCGGGTGCAGTTTGTCTGCCTTTTCCATGAGAGCCCTTCATGGGTTAATCGCAGTCACTGAACTTCTTTGTCTGATCATCCCAGCGTCGGTGCGACACCTCCGTCCGGTTCGTGCTCTGCCTCTCAGGCTGTGGTTTCTCGTGCCTCTTGGCATGCAGTGTGGGTTTTTGCTGCTGTTGGTAGCTGAGCCTGAGGTGTTTGGTCGTAGGAGCTAGGTTTTCAGGGCGAAACTCCTACATGTTGCTTTTTTTCCTGTTTAACTTGAAAAGATTTTTCCTGTCACCACATACAGATCTTATTCCCTTTCGAGACCACATCCTCAAAGGAAATGTTCTCTGAGCTCTTCCGCGTCCGAGCAGGGAAGGGAGTGGCTGTCTCCCCACCCTGAAGAGACTGCTTTCTGGCGGGGGACACGCCTCTACGGGAAGAAGCCGTAGTTTGTGCCCGTTCGGTATCGATCGGCTGGGCCGGCCGGCGGGCTCTTTGTGAGCTGGCCGACGCCTCCCCATCAGACTCACTGTCATGGGCCATTTCTGTGGCTCCGGGTGATGGTAGAATTATGACCAAACGCCCTTATCACCGCGAGAGAATGAGGAACAGCTCATGTCGGTAATTGACAGCAGGGAGCTGGCGGACGTGCTCCCTGCTGTCATCTGACAATAGCTCCGTCCCGAGGAGCAGCGAGGAGCCTGTGTGATCCCCGCCCCCGGGGAGGCAGGTGGGGAGCCGCTGGCCGCCCGGCAGCGGGAAAGCGAGACTGAGGGCCTCTGTCTCCCGCGTGCGAGCCGTTTGTGTGCAGGGCCGTAGACAGAGGCGGCTTTATGGGGGCCGAACAAGACCTCCATTCATCGCACGTCACACGGATCCCGCGTGCGAAAACCCCCGCGGAAGGCTCGCGCGGAGCCCTGGGGGTGTGAAATCGGGCTTGGGATGCAGCGGCGGCCACAGGACAGCCTCCACCTGGAGAGGGGGAGACGGAGGGAGGACCACGGGCTCCCTGTGTCCCCCGGGTCAGCATTGGAGCCGGGGCTCTGCCTCCCGATGGTGGAAGGAGAGGGAGGGGGCGAGGAGGAGGAAGAGCTCCCGGCTCACCTGGTGGACGCCCGGCGGGCCCGCGCTGGGGACGGGCTCCCGGAGCCTGGGGTGCCGAGCTGGGGCCGCTAGCGGGCTCTCACGCGGAGGCGGCGACACTGCACGTCCGCGATCTTTGGTGAGGCCCACGGAAGGCAGTTCTCGGCTCTCGGTGTGTGATCTCGGGGGCAGGCGCCACGTCAGAATCTCCAGCTGAGACGGTGTGTTCCTGCGCAGCACGAAGAAATCGGGCCAGAGAGGAGCAAAGGGAGAGGGAGGGGCTTCTGCCGGTTTTCCTCCTTTTTAAGTTCTAGGAAGATGAGGGGCGTAAGTGTTCCGCCGATATGTGTGCTCGCAAGCTGGATTTGCGGAAGCTGTTTTCTACGACGCCTTTTCCTTTTTTGCTGTTGTATCTTAGACACCAGCTCATACCGGCCCCGGGAGGTCGAGCTCACTGTCCCTTATGGGGGGACAGTGTGTTCCTTACTCCACGTGTCCCCCTTCAGGGCTCTTAGGTGGCTCCCCGGCGCTGGTGCCGCGCCGTGTGCTGCCGAGAACGGGCTGTGAACGGCACAGGACACATCGGTGCCGTCCAGCATAGGGTGAATGCTCGGTGGCCACATGGGTCCCAGGCATGTGTAGTTTATGTTTTACCTGCTTCCAAGCAGTCTTCCCAACGGCATCGTTGTTATACTCCTAAAAAGTAAGCGGAAGTCTTCCTTGACCACGGTCAGCAGTATCGGATTTTCATTCGGCCGTGGAGACGCTTCAGTCGTCGCTGACCAGGTGGGTGAACTGCGGCACCTTCAGTCCATTTCTTTAACCGTGAGGCCCGGCGTCTGGCCACCTGTCTGTGTTGATGGACAGACAACTGACGAAACAGAGAAGCGGCCGGAAGAATGTTCAGTGCGTGTCTGCACCAGGCTGGCTCTGCAGGGTGATTGGCTCAGACTTGGCTGCAGCAGCGTGAGGCCTCCCTTCCCCCTGCATCTGCTCTCTGAGCTCCGCGCCCCTCCTGTTCCCCAGGTGCTCAGTGGCCTGCTGGCCGTGACACGCAGCGGCCCCCAGAGACCTTGTCCCACTTCTCCACACGGGGGGTGGGCATGAGGGGAGGAGCCAGCTGAGGCACCACTGTACACGGGCACACCTGGACCCAGCACACCTGAACCCCACACACCTGGACCCAGCACACCTGGACCCCACACACCTGAACCTCACACACCTGGACCCGGCACACCTGGACCCGGCACACCTGAACACGGCACACCTGGACCCGGCACACCTGAACACAGCACACCTGGACCGAGCACACCTGGACCCAGAACACCTGAACATAGCACACCTGGACCCAGCACACCTGGACCCCGCACACCTGGACCCAGCACACCTGGACGCCAGGGCACCTGGACCCAACACACCTGGACCCAACACACCTGGACCCATCACACCTGGACCCAACACACCTGGACCCAGCACACCTGGATGCCAGGGCACCTGGACCCAACACACCTGGACCCAACACACCTGGACCCGGCACACCTTGACCCAACACCCCTGGACCCAGCACACCTGAACCCGGCACACCTGGACCCAACACCCCTGGACCCAGCACACCTGGACCCGGCACACCTGGACCCGGCACACCTGGACCCAACACACCTGAATCCAGCACACCTGAACCCAACACACCTGGACCCGGCACACCTGGACCCAACACCCCTGGACCCAGCACACCTGAACCCGGCACACCTGGACCCGGCACACCTGGACCCGGCACACCTGGACCCGGCACACCTGGACCCAACACACCTGAATCCAGCACACCTGAACCCAACACACCTGGACCCGGCACACCTGGACCCAACACCCCTGGACCCAGCACACCTGAACCCGGCACACCTGGACCCGGCACACCTGGACCCGGCACTCCTGGACCCCACACACCTGTACTCAACACACCTGGACCCAGCACACCTGAACCCCACACACCTGGACCCAGCACACCTGAACCCCACACACCTGGACCCAGCACACCTGGACCCCACACACCTGAACCTCACACACCTGGACCCGGCACACCTGGACCCGGCACACCTGAACACGGCACACCTGGACCTGGCACACCTGAACACGGCACACCTGGACCGAGCACACCTGGACCCAGAACACCTGAACATAGCACACCTGGACCCAGCACACCTGGACCCCGCACACCTGGACCCAGCACACCTGGACGCCAGGGCACCTGGACCCAACACACCTGGACCCAACACACCTGGACCCATCACACCTGGACCCAACACACCTGGACCCAGCACACCTGGATGCCAGGGCACCTGGACCCAACACACCTGGACCCAACACACCTGGACCCGGCACACCTTGACCCAACACCCCTGGACCCAGCACACCTGAACCCGGCACACCTGGACCCAACACCCCAGGACCCAGCACACCTGGACCCGGCACACCTGGACCCGGCACACCTGGACCCAACACACCTGAATCCAGCACACCTGAACCCAACACACCTGGACCCGGCACACCTGGACCCAACACCCCTGGACCCAGCACACCTGAACCCGGCACACCTGGACCCGGCACACCTGGACCCGGCACACCTGGACCCGGCACACCTGAACCCGGCACACCTGGACCCAGCACACCTGGACGCCAGGATTTGGCCAGAAGACAGTCCGTCTGCTCCTCCCCGGGCTCCTCAGAGGTAACTGCATTCGGGAGGTTGGAGCTGGCACACCTGCACTGCCGTCGTCTTAGTGGCATCGCAGCCCGTGGCCGGGGAAGACGCAGGCCTGCATGGGTGCGTTTCCGCACCATAGACGCCGGGGCCCAGCCGTGTCCGCGTCCGGGATGACTGCGAGGCCGGACCTGGCGCATGGTGTCAGCTGTGACGTCTCAGAAAGGCCCCCCCACGTGGCCTCGGCAGGCCCGGCACAGCCCGTGAGCTCCGTGCCGCGTGCTGTCGCCCAGGGAGCAGGTCGGGAGCAGAGGGTGTGCCTCGGCCCGCCTGGCTCACTCGCTCACGGAGAACGTGCGGGCGGGCTCCTGGCTGTGGCCGGCGCTCTTCTGACTCGGAACCCGGGACCCGGGGACACAGAACGGGCCCTGCTCTCGGGGCGGGAGGGGGGGGGGGGGACAGGCAGGGAGGGACAGGCCGATGCCATGGCAGCGAGAAGCAGCAGGTGGCACGCTGTGCCCTGTAGGCCTTGTGGAGAAGAGAAAGGGGCCGCGTGTGGAGGGCTGGGCAGGCGTCGTGTTCAGTGGATGGCCCGCGAGGTCTCGCTGGGAAGGCGCCGTTGAGCGTGGATTGAAGGAGCGTGGGAAGCTGGGGTCGCTGTTCAGTGTCGGGACAGGAGTGTGGCGGGGAGGAGAAGGCAGGGCTGGGGCAGCGGGGAGAGGGCTGGGGGGCAGTGGTCTGGGCTGGAAATGCAGCGGGAGTCCTGGGGTGACATTGAAAGGGGTGAGCTGAGCTGAAATCCCAGCGAAAGGAAAGGGTGGGCGATCCAGGCCCCGGGACCTTCCTGCTTCCTGAGGTCCAGAGGCAAAGCCAGCAAAGGGGACCCAGAGGGGACGGACCGAGAGGCGGGACGGAGTGTGGCTGTCGGGAGCCCAGGAAATGGCCCCGGAGGGCGGGGTGAGGAGCCGTGTCCCGATGGGCCGGCGAGTGAGGGCTGGCGCTGGGCGCTGGCTCCGCGCCTGCAGGTCGGTGGTGGCTTTGGCAAACACAGGAAAATGCCATGTGGGCCTGGCGGCTGCGGCAACACGCCCAGCTGGTGTGGGTTTGGAGGGAAGGGTGGAGGGGGGAATCGGGGACACGGACTGCTGCCACGGCTTCCGAGAGGGGAGCGGCCAGGGGCTAAATGAGGCCACGGGACTGTGTTTCTTTGGGAGCATGAGCCCTTTATTTATTTTTATTTTTAAATATATTTTATTGATTTCAGAGAGTCAGGGAGAGGGAGAGAGAGATGGGAACATCAGCGATGAGAAAGAATCATGGATCGGCTGCTTCCTGCACGCCCCCCACTGGGGATCAGGCCCGAAACCAGGCATGTGCCCCGACCGGGAATTGAACCCCAACCTCCTGGTTCCTGGGTCGACACTCACCCCCTGAGCCCGCGGCCGGGCTGGACAGTAGATGTGCACGCTGGTGGGAATGACAGGGGCGCTGGGGGCTGAGCGTCGCGGAGAGAGGTTCTTTAGTGGAGAGAGAGGTGCGTCTGGCATGGGGGGGGGGCGGGGGGAGGGTTGTGGATGCTGGGGGGACGCAGACAGTTCCTGGGGGGATGGGTGTGACGGACATGTGGGTGCTGGCCTGGGCGCTCAGAGCAGGAGGCTGGGCGGTCTTCTAGTGGCTTCTGTCCTCTGTGAAATGGAAACACAGTCAGGGCAGAGGAGGGGCTGACGGTTTGGGGGGACGAGGGGAGGCGTGGGAAATCCTCCAGAAAGAGGGCGCGCAGCCCCTAGAGGCAGGAGGCGTGGCTGGAAGGCCCGCGATGCGTGTGTGTCTCTCGGGCTCAGGAGGTCTGGGCTGCTGAACCCCGTGGCCAAGCAGAGGGGACCCCGTGAGAGGCTGGTGCGAGGACCTTGCAGCTCAGGGCGTTCACTGCTGGGGGGTGGGGGTCGGGGAGGAGGGGAGACGTCTCCGTCTCCTGGGGTGTAAGGAGGTCACTGCAGCTCCCGGCAGAGCCCCCGCCGGCACCGGGAGCTGCGGGCACATCGGGGCGCCTCCTGCCTCATCTGCCCCTCGCGCCCCCCCCGCCCCCAGCCCGTCTCCAGCACATTCCGGCGCCTGCAGCAGCCGGCTCCCTAGTTACAGAGCGTCCTGGGGGCCGACACTCCGGGCGGGACACGGCGGCGGGAGCAGCGCGTTTTCCACGCTGAGGCTCTCACGAGACGCGGCACCTCGTTCCTGTGGTCCCGGGAGCGACATCTGGAAGGTGGTTTTGTTTTGTTTTCCTTGAGTGGAGAAGGCGAGGAGTAAAAACAGCAAAAAGCCATTTCGGTGAACGTGGGGCCTGGGCCTGACTCAGCCCGGGCGCGGCGTCGGCACAGCCCCTGCCCTGAAGCTCCCGCCGCAGCTCCGGCCGCAGGGAAACGGTCAGCGGCCGCTCAGTTCCCCGCCTCCAGCGGCCGAGGGGTCGACCGGCGATGTTTTCAGACTTCCAGCTGCTGTTCGGAGGTGCCGTGGCCGCAGGGCCTGTGAAATAAATCATGGAAACCGCATTTTCCACGTGTAACTGGGCTGCAGTTTCTGTTTTTTCACTTTTTATTTCTTGTTCCTTTTTTGTTTGGTTTGAGCGCCTGGCTCCTTCTCATGTGAGTGCTGGGGTAGGCGCCGCCCTCTCGTCCCGGGAGCCTTCTCGGAATTCCCACGCCCGCGGGGAGCGGCAGGGAGGCCGCAGGCAGGAGGCAGGAGAGGACCCGCCTGGGATGGGGTGATGTCCTCATAGACTGGGCATTCACTGCGCACCTGTTATCAGCAAGGTCACCTGTCATCTGCAAGGTCACCTATCATCTGCAAGGTCACCTGTCAGTCATCTGCAAGGTCACCTGTCATCTGCAAGGTCACCTGCAAGGTCACCTGTCATCTGCAAGGTCATCTGCAAGGTCACTTGTCAGTCATCTGCAAGGTCACCTGTCATCTGCAAGGTCACATGTCATCTGCAAGGTCACATGTCATCTGCAAGGTCACCTGTCAGTCATCTGCAAGGTCACCTGCGATGCCAGGCTGTGTGCTCGGCCGTGAGGGAGGAACGAGGAAGCCGGGCGGTCTCTGCTTCGATGCTTTTCTCTGACTGACGTGAACCGCGGAGGAAGTGGGCCCAGGACACAGCCGAGCCAAGGCGATGGGGGCTGGGTGTGAGCACCCCCTCACCACGGAGACTGGCGCCTGCATCACCCCACGACTCCCACTGTGGACCCTCAGGGTCTGGAGCGACAGCCATGACACCTATGAGGGCAGGGACGGGGTTAGCGGCACACAGACACAGACGCTGTGTTTGGAGCCCATCTGAGCCGACGCCCAGAGGCCCTGAGAGGAGTCCAACCTTCCCTCCCCGCCCAGACCCTCGGGTGTCGCTGTGGGGCAGGTGCAGCGTTCCCGCTCCTTCGAGGCCGAGTAGCAGTCCCTTCACTAAACGCACATCTTCTCTACTCGTCCGTCTGTCCACCGGCGCCGGGCCTGTCCACGTCTCGGCCACCGTGACAGAGGCTGCGATGGACACGGCGCAGACCCACATTCCCGTCAGCGGGTTTGCTTCTTTTACATCAACACCCGGAGGGGGCCGCGGGCTCGGAGGGGGCGCGTGGGCTCAGAAGGGGGTCGCGGGGCCGGAGGAGGGGCCGCGGGCTCGGAGGGGGGGCCACGTTTAATATGTTGAGGGAACTCCAGGCTGGCCCGGTTTCCATCCCACAGACGCGGGCGGGGCCCTGCTCCCCGCGTCGCCAGCACTGCCTGTTCCGTGTGTGATGAGGCCGCTCTGACGGGGTGAGGGGTTCTGGCTGTGGCTTCGTTGTGCGTCTCCTGATGGTGCCTGACGGACGTTGAGCCTCGTCACACACCTGCTGGCCATCGGTCTGTCGTGTTTGGAAAAGAGTCCGATCCAGCCCTTTGCCCATTTCTCCGTTTGGCCACATGACGCCAGTGACAGGCGCTGGGGGCAGTGGAGCCAGACCAGCACGGACTCTCGGGGGGCAGGGGGGACCCAGCTTTGCCACTTCCTGCCCCGAGAGCTCGCGCATGCAGGAACTGCCAGCCGTGGGTTCCTCACGTGAACGAACGGGAAAGCCCGCCACGCCCCTGCCTCCGGGAGGGGAGTCACCCGGGAGGGGCAGGCGCCTGGGGTCCCCCCCCGCCCCCCCGTTGCAATGGTGGTTAGACATCGGGGCCTCGGAGACTTACACCTACAGGAGCCGTTTATGCTGATGTTACCGGTGACACAGGAACCCACGAGTCGATGCCTAGGAAAACGGCGATGTAAGAAAACAGACTCACAGAGAAGAGGAGTTCAGATCACTTTACGAGCCTTGGAAAAGGGATAAAGAGAAACCTCCCAGGAAAGCGTGCGTGCGTCTGCTGTCGTCAGAGCGCCACCACGTTCCAGGGCCGGTGAGTCCACGCAGACACGGAGCCCTGCAGGGAACAGGAAAAACATAAAAACGGGGGGACTCCCTCAAAGTCAGACAAAAGCAGTTAAAGGAAAATACAGGCTAACCTCACTCATGAGTAAAGCAACAAAAATTTAAATCAAAATAAGAGCAAATAGAACCCAGATGCTGTTCATCAGATGTGTGTTTGGAAGAAAAACAACACCCACAGTCGGACAAGCTCGATCGTCCTGGGGGTGCACACAAGCGGCTCCCGCGGAGGGGCCCCCGGGGCGTGGGGCAGGAAGGAGAGGCCGTGTGACCGCCACAGGGGCGAAGAGCTGCCCTCGGTAAACCCAGCTCGCCTCGGGGATTAAAGCATAAAGCCCAGCGCGGCGAACAGAGACATGGCCGGCCTGGACCTCCCGGGGCGCGTGGACCAATGTGAAGCCCAAGGCCGCTCGGGCCGGCGGGCCAGACCAGGGTTCCGCACTCGCACTTGGGGGCCGGACCAGGCCCTCCCGCTGCCAAACCCTCTCTCTCCCCCATCAGGAGGAGGCCCAGCTGGGAAGGGGTGCGCTCACTCCCCCCCACAACTCCCTTAGTCCAGAGCGTCCCGGAGGTTGCACGGGGTGGGGGGTGGCCAACGGGAGCGTCCTCCTGGGGCCGGGCCCTGGGTCTGCTGCTGGCGCCGGTGGCTGGCCCGTCGGTGGAAGGCCCTGCATGTCCGTCCCAGGGACACGGAGACGCCAGTCCCCGTTTCGGTCTGTCTTGTTGGCTTCGGGCGCGTCACTGGTGTCCTGGCCCTGGGCCCCTCTGGGACCGGCTCTCTCCGGCCGACAGACGGACGCTGTTTCTGGGCTGTGTGTCTCCACGCTCCTCCCCGCCCACCGTCCAGCACTCTGACCACACGGGCGTGGGAAGTGCTGGCGGCGATAACCGGCTCCCCTAAATGCCAGCCAGACCCAGCCTGCGTGCCAGAGCCCCAGCGCGCAGCCCTGGCTCCCAGAGAAACACCACATGGCGAGGCGCTCGGGGACAGACAGCCAGGGACAGACAGGAGGCGGCCCCCAAGCACCCCCTGAGCTGGTGGGGGTTCCAGAATGGCCCTGAGCACATGTGAGGGCTTCCCGCTGCGCCTGTGGGATGGCTGGGGAAGGAGTGACTCACAGACAAACCCAGCTGACGGCTGTGACCGTGACGCACGGACAGACAGATAGACAGAGAGGGCAGCTCTCCGTCCGTCCTCCCACCCTGAGCAGTCACCCAATTTAGGAGGAAAAAGAGTTGTGTTTTGGGTAGAGCAGCCTAGTAAAGAGAACCACCCCCCACCCCCACCCCATGGGCGTCTCAGCGGGAACCTCGAGAAGCCAGGGTATCCCTCGGGGCAGCTCCAAGCCGGGCAGCGGCTGGGGCCAGGGCGTCACGTGGTTGCCTCTCGGAGTCGTGGATGTGGCCTCTTTGCGCCAAGCCACAGCCTCGGTGGCCCGGTTTGGGGAGAGCCCACGTGCCCGCCACTGACTTCCTGAAGGGTCCTGGGCCGTCGCTCCATCCAGTCGGGCCCTGTGTCTGTGAGTCTGGGCAGGAGGGTGCCGGGGGGCAGGGCAGGGGCCTGACCCCTGAGGCAGATGCCACGCACCCGCGTGTGGCCGCACGCGCCTGAGAGACGGGCCGTGGAGAGAGACGGGCCGTGTGTTCCCGCCTCCGTGGCTTGGCCGTCGGGGGCTCAGGACAGCCACGTGGCTTGGCCGTCAAGGGGGGCTCGGCTCCGGTTCTGCTGGGGAAGTGGAGTCAGAGCCAGTTCCCGGGTTCCAAACGCTGTTCGTCGAGGTGGTGAGAGCGGCCAGGGCGGTACGGACGTTGACGGGCAGACACCTGGGGAGGCAGCTCAGCATGACCCGAGCGAGCGGGGAGCAGTCCCCACGTGGGAGGGGGTGCCGACGGGGGTCACAGGCCGCGGCCGCTCCCGCCTGCCCACCTGCTCCCTGGCCCTCGGCTTCCTCACCTGCGAGAGGAGGGGTCTTGGGGTGGTGTCTGCACACGAGTGGGCGGCGTGGCTGGGCGCCTCCTGCTCCCACACCCCGACTGCAGGGTGTCGGCGGCTCCCCAGGTCCCCCAGGCCCCCCGTGGTCTGTCTACTTCCTGAGCCGAAGGCCCCGGAGAGGGCGGGCGGGCTGCCTTCCCCGTGGCCTTGGCACTGAAGGGATGGTGAGCGCGTGGGTCGGTGTGATGCCAGCAAGGGCTGTGTGTGTGTGCGTGTGTGCGTGTGTGCGCGCGCTTGTGTGTATGCACGTGTGTGCGCGTGTGTGCGTGCGTGCATGTGAGACATTGAAAAAATGCTTTGAAAAACCTGCTCCTGTGTTTGGAACAAAGCTGCCCCCTGGATGTCCGCCCAGCTGTTTGGATGTAGCGTTTGTTTTCTTTGTGCCTTTTCTTGTACTTTCCCTTCGCACGTCACGGGACCCGTTTGCCGCTGGAGGGAGTAACAGACACTCCTCCCTTTTCTTAGGTCTGAAGTGGAGTCAGCCGGGGATTCTCACGGCCTGTCCCTGCCTCTCGGAGAGGCTGGTCGCTTCCCGGGAGTTCGGTTTCGGTTCCGACGGCGTTTCTTTCCCACAGTGGTACTTGGATGTCAAAGCGAAAATACGCAGCCCGGCCGGCCTGGCTCAGTGGCTGAGCGTCGACCTGTGAACCAGGAGGTCAGGGTTCGATTCCCGGTCAGGCACAGGCCCGGGCTGTGGGCTCGATCCCCAGTGGGGGGCGTGCAGGAGGCAGGCGAGCCATGGTTCTCTCTCATCACGGATGTTTCCCTCCCTCCCTCTCCCTTCCTCTCTGAGATCAATAAGAACATATTTTTAAAAGGACTGAATGGAACAGTCTCCAGCGCGACTCACAGTTGAATGTGTGGGGAGAGGAGGGCATGGGAGCAGGAGCCCAGGCGCATTCGGGACACGGGAGCGAGCCAGGTCGGATTCTCGCCAGGACAGACCCGCCTGGCACTGCCCGCTGAGCCATGGCTGCCCGCCTCCTCGCCCGCAAACCCAGCTCTTCCGCGTTTATTCTGGGCGCAGAGAGCTGCTCCCGAAATTGAAGCGTGTCCTGCGGCCACAGCCCTAGTGAGGGCTCCGTGCCGACTCGCAGGAGGCCTGGTGGTGGGGACGCACTTTCCCTCCCCTCCCCTCCCCTCCCTCCCCTCCCCTCCCCTCCCCTCCCCTCCCTGCCGGCCAGCTCTCACGCCAGGAACACACAGTTGACAGACAGTCATTTTGTCCGTCTCACCCGGAAAGCCCGTCACCTGCCTGTGGTGTTTACAGACCCGCGTGGACAGAGGGCGGGAGAGGGGGACTGGCCTTCAGGACAGAGGAGAGGCTTTGTCCACAGCAGGTTCATCGCCAGGGCCGGGTGACATCCTCAGGCCCCGGGTGGGTGACCTCTGCCCTCTGTCCTCAGGCCCCGGGTGGGTGACCTCTGCCCTCCGTCCTCAGGCCCCGGGTGGGTGACCTCTGCCCTCCGTCCTCAGGCCCCGGGTGGGTGACCTCTGCCCTCCGTCCTCAGGCCCCAGGTGGGTGACCTCTGCCCTCCGTGGCGCCGTCTGAATCCGCCCCGTCCCCCTGCAGTGAGCGTGTGAGATGGGCGGGTTCCTGTGGGTCGGATGCCGGCTGAGGCTCAGGGACGCGATGGCCGTGCGTTTTATTTGGGGCTAAAACCCCTCGTGCGTGGCCACGCCGTCTCCACGGCTGTCGCCAGAACACGCCCCTGGGTCTGACAGGCGGAAAGTGAGCCCTGTCACTCCCCACGCGAGGGACCGACCCGGACAGGGCTGGGAGGCGAGGGCGGGTCTGGCTCGGGCCGTCCCCTGCGCCCTGGTCCCCGGCGGAGGGGCCCGAGCACGGGGCCTGTCGCGAGTCTCTGGGCACTTCTCTCCTCCAGGTGTTGGGCCGACGAGCATTTTTATTCCGACGCAGAGAAGTCACGCGGGGTGTGTCGTGACGAGCCCGCCGCTCAGGGAGGCTCCACGCCCGGCGCCTGCGCGGGTGGCGCCTGCGCCTCGTCCCAGGCAGCCGACGTGACGGGCACCACGGGCATGAACTCCCTGCCGCCAGGAAGCTCTGTGAGGCCGAGGGTGACCCCTCGAGCAGGGTCACCTCGCGTTTGCCTGCACAGAGTGCGGGGCGCGGAGTTGGGGAGCGGGGTGGGGCGCGGAGTGCGGGGCGTGGAGTGCGGGGCACGGGGAGCAGGGCGCGGGGTGGGGGCGCAGGGTGGGGGCGCGGGGAGCGGGGCGCGGAGTCGGGGAGCGGGGCGGCGAATGAATTGTGCTGACCACGTCCGTGGTGCGTGTTCTCCGTGCCGGGCCCCCGGCTTGGGCGGAGCGGGCTCTGATATTTGTTCTAGACAAGCAGGTCAAACTCAAAGGCTGACACGGGCCAAATAAACAAGGTTAACGTGGATGTGGCCGCAAGAAAACAGTAGCTTCCATTTCCATAGAAGCGTGGGTTTATTCCGATAGAGACGTGCTGAATGCAAAGGGCTGAGATAGATGAGTCATCGTTAACTAAAATAATAGAACATTTTAATAACAATATTTTCTCCTGAACATTAACTTACCAGCACTGTGTAACTGCACAGATTAGTAAGCGTCACGCAGATAAACCTACTTTTCTTTTCTCCGAAAGCGAAATATCTCCTGTTGCGCAAACCCAACAAGTCGGTCCAGGACGAATGCCGTGGCCGTCGGCCGCTAAAATACTCGCTGCTGGTGTCAGTGGGGAGATGGTGCGCCTGCGTGAGGCGCGTGGGGAAGTGAATGCAGCACGACGATGGTCACCCGTCATTATCGAACCCTGTAGTTGGTTATTAGTAGTGATGTGTAACGGGACATTGTAAACATTACGTTACACAATTTTACTAAAACGTTTCTTACAGGCATTACATTGGCTGGGCCGCGGCCGTATTCGTTGTGGGCTGCTCGAAGCCCGCGGGCCGCGTGTTTGACATCCTTGTTCTAGAAGACCCGTGGTTCTCCACCTCGGCTGCCCATTAGAAGCACCTGGGAATCTTTTTAAAATCCTGGTTTCTGGGCCCCATCCTCCGGAAATGCTGTTTCTTTGTTATGGGTGAGGCCACAACATGAGTAACAAAGAAACAGCATTTCCGGAGGATGAGGCCCAGAAATCAGGATTTTAAAAAAGATTTCCAGGTGCTTCTAACGTGCAGCCGAGGTTGAGAACCACTGCGCTAGACTAACGATCCGCCATTGCCTTCTGCGCGCTGTGTGCGAGGCGAGCGGCCCGGGGTCCTGGCTGCGGAGGCTCCGGGCGGGAGAGATCCAGGCCGCGGGGAGTGACAGGGCGGCACCAGGGCTGAGCCTGCGGGAAAGAGCGGAGGGCGAGGTGCTGGCGGGAGCAGGTGGGGCGTCTGCCTGTAACGTGCGTCCCGGAGTCCCCGGGCCCGGAGCTGGGGGACGTGTGTAACCTGTCGTGGCCGCTCGCCGGCGTCGGGGGAGCCGAGGCACAGCCCCCGCCCCCCCGGACCCGCTTTGCCCCGTGGCGGGCGGACAGGAGAGGAGAGGGCCCGGGGCCCAGCGACCAGGGGCTGGGTCTCCACGGCCTGGGCGGCAGGACGCCCCTGAGCCCCCGTGTGGGTCGGAGCCGGCTCCCCTGTGCGCGGGGAGGACGCGGGTCGGACCGAGCGGGTTCCGTGCTTTTGGTGCCGCCGTTCTATGCTCGCGGCTCTCAGGCGGCCTCAGGTTTTGCCTCGTTAAGAGGACGTCTCCCAGGGGACCCGTGATCGGGCCGCGGCTCCGTCCTGCCCCGAGACGGACTTCCGGGCGCTCCCGTCCGTGCCCGCGGCCCAGGCTCCCCGCACAGGGTCTCCCCACAGAGGGACCCCCACAGAGAGGGACCCCCACAGAGAGGGATCCCCACAGAGAGGGACCCCCACAGATGGACCCCCACAGAGAGGGACCCCCACAGAGAGGGACCCCCACAGAGAAGGACCCCCCACAGAGAGGGACCCCCACAGAGGGACTCCCCACAGAGGCCCTGAGCGAGCCGGGCAGTGGCCCTGGTGGGAAATTAACGCGTCCCCGGGGCCCTGATGGGGCAGGTGTGTTCCCCGAGGGAAGCTTCCGGCCAGAACACCTGCTCCCAGGTTGGGGGTGTTTCCTCGGGATGATGGGAGGTCGCACCTGTTTTCCCGGGAGGACGGTTGCGTCAGTGGATTCAGGACGCGATCCCGCGGGGGGGGGGCTGGGGCAGAGCTGCGAGCTTGGGAGACAAAGGCGCTGGGGCTGCGGCGAGCCCCGCCGTCTGTCCGGCGCTCCTTCCGTCTTCGTGAATTTTTTATTTATTTATTATTTTTCAAATACATTTTTATTGATTTCAGAGAGGAAGGGAGAGAGACATATAGAAACACCAATGATGAGAGAGAATTATTGATCGGCCGCCGCCTGCACGCCCCCCACTGGGGACCGAGCCCACAACCGGGCCTGGGCCCTGACCGGGAATCGCACCCTGACCTCCTGGCTCACAGGGCGACGCTCACCCCTGAGCCCCGCCGGCCGGGCCTGGTGAATCCCCTTTAGTTGAGGCTCCTGCCGGCACCTGTGGGTCCTGCCGCCATGTCGGAGCTGGTTCTGAGTAAGTTCTGTGCTTGGCTTTCTGTCTCCTGGGCTCCCCGTGGGGTCAGCTGGGGGTGGCGGACGGGCGAGGGCCTGGTCCGAGGGGGACGTCCCCAGCGTTGGCGGCAGCTCCGCGGTCACGGCCCTCCTGCTGACTTGGGTCTCCCCGGCAGGGTCAGGAGAGACCGGGGTGGGGGCCTAGGTCTCCCATGGTGGGTGCGGGCGTGGACACGCGGCTCAGGCGCCGGGACAGAAGCCGTGGGCCCTTCCTGACCCCTGACTGCGGCCGCGCCCGGACCAGCGGTCTTGCCGTCCAGTCCCAGGACCCCCTGAGGCCCTGGCCTTTGTCTGGAGGGGGTGAGGGGTACCCGGAACAGGGCAGGTTCCCGGGTTATGGAGCTGCCTCCGGCACTGGCCGTGGGGACACGGGGGGGGGGGGGCTGTCTGTGTGGCTGACCTGTCCTCCCGCCGGGACCAAGGGCACGGGGTGGGGTGGCCTCCTGGCCCCTGAGGGGCCTGTCGTTGCCGCCACCAGGTCACGCCCTTCTCCATAGTCGGGGGCTCCGTGGGACTAAAGAGATTAGGGGGTCATTTCTCGCCTCTAGTGTTTGTTCTTTGGTTAGGAACAGCCGGGGCGTTTTTTTCTGAGAAGGGCCCTTCTGTGCCCCGAGGGGACCAGCGGAACAGCACCTGTGTGGGCAGCGGCCGGCCGGTCACGGGCGGCCACAGGCAGGAGTGAGGCCCCGAGTGGGGCTGAGGCACAGGTCTCATCAGGTGAAAGCACAGTGTGCATAGAGCCCCCGAGACCCCCCCCCCTCCCCCGGAGCCCTGGGTGGTGTCCTCGTGGAGCGCCCTGCCCAGCCCCCAGCAGCAGCCGGAGCTGGGCTTGCTGAGGGCCCTGTCTGTGCAGCCGGCCTGCTGTCTGCCAGGGGTGCCGCCTGCAGCTGGGATGGGGGGGGGGGCTTCCCCGTCAGCAGCTCCCCCTGCCTCCCCTGCCCACCAGGCATTTCCTGTGTCCTTGCCGAGGCCGCATTCCACCGTGGGTCCCAGGCCCAAAGTGACAGGCTGCTCCTCCCCCCGCCCCCCACGGGCAGGCGACGAAGTTACAAAGCAGACGGAGCCCACTGAGCGTCCGGGGCTGTGTCTTCAATGGGTCCGTTCAGGCGGGTTCTGGGGGGCGGGCAGCTCAGCCAGCCGGGTCCTCTCTGTCCATTGTGTCTGTCCTTCCGCCCCCGTGAGCCCTGAGTGTGGCCTGTTTCTGTGGGAGGATGAGAGCAGCGCCCTCCCTCCCTCTCTCCTTCCTTTAGTCCAGCGGTTCCCAACCTTCCTAACGCCGCGACCCTTTGATACAGCTCCTCACGTTGTGGGGACCCCCAACCATAACATCATTTCCGTTGCTACTTCGTAACTGTCATTTTGCTGCTGTTGTGAATCGTCATGTAAATATCTGATATGCAGGATGGATTTTCATTGTGACAAACTGAACATAATTCAAGCATAGTGACTAATCACAAAAACAATATGTAATTATCTATGTGTTTTCCGATGGTCTTAGGCGACCCCTGTGAAAGGGTCGTTCAACCCCCGGAACCGGTTTGGCTCAGTGGATGGAGCGTCGGCCTGCGGACTGAAGGGTCCCGGGTTCGATTCCGGTCAAGGGCATGTACCTGGGTTGCGGGCACATCCCCAGTAGGGAGATGTGCAGGAGGCAGCTGATCGATGTTTCTCTCTCATCGATGTTTCTAACTCTCTATCTCTCTCCCTTTCTCTCTGTAAAAAATCAATAAAATATATTAAAAAAAAAAAAAAGGGTCGTTCAACCGCCAAAGAGGTCGCGACCCACAGGTTGAGAACCGCTGCTTTAGTGAGGCCTCCCTCCCTCCCTCCCTCCCTTGCTTCCAGGCCCCCAGGGGTGTGGGTGTGCCAGAGAGGAGAGAGTGTCTGAAGGTCTAGTTGAGCCACCGCCCCCTGGAGCGCCTCGGTGATGAGGCCCAGGTGCTGTTAGATTCGGCGCCGCCGGTGACCTCGCCTGAGCCTAGTCACCTCTGAAGACATGGAGGCGGGGGGCTGCCGCGCGTGCCTGCTGGGGGCGCCGTCCGGTCCCCGCACGTACATTAGGGCTCACGCTTGGCGTTCCGTGTTCCGTGGATGGTGACGAATGTCCATGACACGGCGGCACATGACAGTGTCCGCGTCGCCTCCACGACCGGCTTGTCTCCGTGGAGCTCCGTGTCCTGCCGGCCGTGGGAGCGCGTCCCCTCAGCCCACGTCTCCAGGTCTGGAAGGCCCGCAGGCTGCCTGTCCCTCCCCTTCGGGGGGCACCGTGGCTGCTCCCCACTCGGGCGGCGATGGGACTGCAGTGGCTGTGGCCTCCGCTGCGGGTTTGCGTGGATGTGCGTTTTCACATTTTTGGGGTCGATACTGGGCAGCAGTGACTGGAAATAGTCAGGTGTTCCTTCCGTCCAGGCCTGACAGGAGAGCAGGGGCCGTGGGAGGCGGTCCCGGGACTGGCCGGCAGCTGCTCTCCTGCCCTTTGCTCTCGGAAGGGGTGCAGGTGGCGGAGCGGGACCCACAGCGCCCCCAGTCCTGGCCCAGTGGCCCTGCCGTCTGTGGACCTCCTTCCTCCTCCCTCCAGGCTGAGCGCACTCCAGCACTTCCTCCTCGTCCGCACGCCTCCCGCCCCCGCTCTGTGCACGGCCCGGCCCTCGCCGAACAGGCAGCTCGCCTCCTGACCCCTCGGAGTTGCTTGGATGGAATAATAGAATCGGCCAGATGTTCTTAAAATAGTTTGTTGTTTGTAAGACTCGACACTCCCCGAGGGAAACAAAGACTCTGTTTTCCTTTGCTTGTGCATTGTGACTCTCCTGGCAAATTCCTGTTTCAGCTTCGCAGCTGTTGGCTGTTTACAGTCCTGCTCCGCCATCTCCTGAGCGGGCCCATCCTGTGAGCGGGCGGGTGGGCGCGGACACAGGCCCATTCTGTGAGCGGGAGGGTGGGCGCAGACAGCAGGCACGTTTTGGGGGTAAAATATGTCCCATTGTCGTCAGCGTCTGTGTGGGGATGTTGAACGCAGGGCAGAGGGTGTCTGCCCTCGAGGGGGCGCTGCCCGGTGCTGGGCAGCTGGGATCTGACCTGAGCCGGTCAGGGCCTGGGGGGCGGCCCAGGGCGGTGGGGAGCCACGCCCGCTCAAGGTCAAGTGGAAAGGGCCGTCCAGGGAGAAAGGAAGCAGGAGGTCGAGCCTGCAGTGTGTGCTCAGGGTCACGTCTGTGCAGAGGATGTAAACAGGAAAGGGGCCTTCGCCGGGGCTGTCGGCGAGGTTGTCGGGAAGGACAGCCGGTGGGACCTGGTCTGGGGTGAGAGGCGGCGGTTAGGGCGGGAGGAGAGCTGCGCTTTGGGGACCCCAGGTGGAAGGGGGACCCCTCGGTTCCCGCCCTTGGGCCACGTCCGGCCCGGGACCCACGCATGACAGGGATGAGGCCGGAGACTCTGCTTCCTCCGACCTTCAGCCTGAACGACCTTGGGGCTGAGTGCCTCACAGCCTCCCTCCCTTCAGCCCGGCCCCTTAGCGCCAGGTCCTGAGCCCCATGTCTGAGCGGCGCTGCCCAAGCAGGTGACGGCCCGGGAATTGCAAGGAAGCGCCCACTCGCACAACAGGTGTACGTGGAGGTGACTCAGGTTTCGAAATGCAGGAGGGAGGAGATGGAAGCTCCTAGAAGTCACGTCATTTCTCCAGCATCGCGCACCGAGGGCCCGACAGCTTGGTCTCATGTCCCTTGATTCCAGAGCGCGATCTGTTTACCCTGAGACGCTGCCCCAGCCTGGAGACTCTGACCTCAGGCCTTTCAGCACAGTCCACCTCCCCCTCCCCCCAGTGGACGCAGTGAGCGGCCACTGCCCCCTGGAGGACACTCCCAGAATTCTTTAAAAAAAATTTTATTATTGATTTCAGGGAGGAAGGGAGAGGGAGAGAGAGAAACATCAATGATGAGAGAGGATCATTGATGCATCAGCTGCCTTCTGCATGTCCCTCACTGGGGATCAAGTCTACAACCCAGGCATGTGCCCTGACCTGGAATCGAACCGTGACCTCTGGGTAGGGAGTGGCCAGAGTGTGTCTCGAGGACGGGGGGGGGGGGGGGGGGTGGACCTCACCTCCCCATGTGCTGAGTGTGACGCAGCAGGTCCCAGGGCGAGCAGACCTGTGGAGGCCTGGCCTCCTGAAGCCAGTTTAGAGGACCTGCCAGGGTGTCCGGAGGCCGTGGAGCCTGGGCCGTTTCTGAGGTTCGGGGGCCCCTGGGATGTGGATGGAGCCAGAGTGCAAGCCGCAGTCCCTCCTGAGGTCACCGCCCCCATCGATGGCTCTCACAGCAGCAGCACCGGCTGCTGAGGCTTTGCCCTCCTGGCCTGGGTGCTTACTCAGTGGCCCTCAGAGGGATGGAGGAAACTGGGGGGCAGGTAGATCTCTCACCATTTAACCTTGACCGTCACCATCCATACAGGGAAGGAACCACCCACAGACCCAAGTTAGGGGCCTCTGGGGAACCTCTCAGAGGACCCAGGTGGGTCCCCGAAACCCCAGGGTCAGCAGCAGTCCCTTGGCCACCACCCGGGCCCCCCCTCCAGGCTGCAGCCAGGAAACGCGACCCCTGCCTGCCCCAGTGCAGGGGGAGGGGGTGGGTTCTGACGGCGCCTTCTCTCCCGCAGACTGCTCGGCCATGACCACGGCGTGGTACCGGCCCACGTGGGACCTGGCCCTGGACCCGCTGGTGTCGTGCAAGCTGTGCCTCGGCGAGTACCCGGTGGAGCAGATGACCACCCTGGCCCAGTGCCGCTGCGTCTTCTGCACGCTGGTGGGTGCCGGCCCTTCCAAGGGGGGCGTCAGGGTTTGCTTCCATGTCTGCAGGCCACACCCTTTTTTGGTAATAGCCTACATAATAAAGAGGCAATATGCAAATGGTCACTCCGTCGTGACGCATGACGACCACCGGCAGGAGGGCGGGACAGCGAGCCACTCGCACACGGATTTGTGCGCAGGGCTGCTAGTGTGTGTGTATATTTGTATTGATGTCAGAGAGGAAGGGAGAGGGAGAGAGAGATGGAAACATCAGTGATGAGAGAGGATCATGGATCGGCTGCCTCCTGCATGCCCCCCACTGGGGATGGAGCCCACACCCCGGGCCTGTGCCCTGACGGGAATCGAGCCGTGACCTCCGTGACCGCCTAGTTCATAGGTTGACGCTCAGCCACTGAGCCACGCTGGCTGGACCGCACCTCACTGTCCACGTGCAGGTCCATGCTGGTGGGTGGTTCAGCTGGAATCCCGAGCCGCCTGTGGCTCGCGCTGGTTTCAACCAGAACGGGCACGGGTTGAATCCCATGTAGATCTCGGTCTGACGGGGCCTTGTGGGGCCGGGGGATGTGCTCGTAAGGATCGCAGGGCCTCCGTGCCGTCGCCCGCACTCGGACCAGCCCTGTGCTCGTCGGGGAGAATCGGGCAGGGCTCATTTCCACTTCATCTCATTTAATCCCTTGGTTTTTCTTCCCATTCAGACTCCAAAAAAGAAAGAACCGTTTTCTTTCAACTTTAAAGACAACAGCAAAAGTCTCTCCTGAATGTAGCTGTTCCCCAGGGGCCCTGTGGGTGGCCGGCTCGGGCACTGACCTTTTGGGTAATAACCCACCACCCACAGTCCTTCCTGCCTCAGGGCTCGGCCTTGCCCTCTGGGGAGCCGCAAGCACCTTCTTTGGTGACTGGGTTTTCACGTCGGACAGAGGGGCGGGTCATCGGTCCCATGAGAATACTGAGAGGCGGTCAGGAAGCAGTGGGCAGTACTGCGCTGCCCTTTAGCAGAGCAACCCGGCCCTCCCCGCCCGCCTGTCCCCCCCCCGCCCGCCTGTCCCCCCCGCCCGCCTGTCCCCCCGCCCGCCAGTCCCCCCCGCCCACCTGTCCCCCCGCCCGCCTGTCCCCTTGCTGGTAGACGTACTGGCCTCATGTGGTCTGGGTCCGCCTGCGGCCTGAGACCCTGCACCGCACGCAGCCCCGGCCCCCGGGCACCCCGTCAGTACTTGGTGAGGGAACACCGCCTCTGGCAGCTGCGGGCCCCCAGTGGCAGCGCCCGCCTGCCTGGACCATGTGCGCGGTGCCCGCTCCCTGTGGTCCCACGTGCCCTTCTCACAGAGGCGTCTGTCTCTCTCAGTGCCTGAAGCAGTACGTGGAGCTCCTGATCAAAGAAGGATTCGAAACCGCTATCAGCTGCCCGGACGCCACCTGCCCGAAGCAGGGCCGCCTGCAGGAGCACGAGGCAGGTGCCCGGACAGCCGGGGGGCGGGGGGGAGGTTGGCGCAGGTGCTGGTGCGGCTGAGCCGGCCTGGGCCCAGCCCTCAGCTTGTCACCCCCCTGGTCCGTGTGTTTTTCCTCCCTCAGATCGAGTGCATGGTTGCGGCTGAAATTATGCAAAGATACAAAAAGCTACAATTTGAAAGAGGTAGGTGCGGGCGGAGGAGCCAGTTCCGGGGCCTCTGCCTGGCCCCGGGCGGGCGGACCTGGGGCGTGTGTTCGGAGGAGGGGACGGGGCCTCATTCGCTACGACAGGAGGGGCCCGAGCTGGAGGGCCTCCGGGAGCGGGGTGGGAGCAGGAGGGGTTCACGAACCACAGTCGTTTATAGAGACGTGGGCTACGGGGGCGGCTCAGCGAGGCTGGACCCCGGGCGTGGCTCCTCAGCCAGGCGAAGGCCCGGCCGCTGAGGGCTGAGCTCTGGGACCTGCACGGGATGCGGGAGACGCAGGCGGCGGGAAGGCCGGAGAGAGGGTACGGCCACCTTCCCCCCAGGCCTGACCTCTCCCTGCTCTCCGTCCGGCGCCCGGCTGGACGGCCAGGTCTGGGCCTTATCTCTGTGAGCAGCCGCAGCCCAGCAAGGTCATCTAACCCATTGCACTGACCCCGAGGAGGCTGAGGCTCACCCCGAGTTCCATCCCTAGTGGGTGGGGGGCCCAATCCCTCCTCCAGTGCCCCGCCCGCCCTCGCAGCTGGGTCCCGGCCGGCCCTGACCCCGGGGTCTCCGGGGCACGGCATGGAGCGGCGTGGAATGTGCGTGTTTGAGACGACATCGCAAGTGTCACCACTTTATCGTTATCGGACGTGCACTTGCCACTGTGTCTGCAGGGCCCGTGGAGGCCCTTTGGCCTCGCTTCTGTGTTTCTTTAATATGTTTCTGTTGATGTCAGAGAGGAAGGGAGAAAGAAACACCAATGATGAGAGAGAATCACTGATCGGCTGCCTCCTGCACGCCCCCCACTGGGGATCGAGCCCACAGCCCGGGCCTGTGCCCCGACCGGGAATCGAACGAACCGTGGCCTCCTGGTTCCTCGGTCGATGCTCAGCCCTGAGCCAGGCGGCCGGGAGGACTGTGTGTGTCGTGGCGCCTGGCGCCTGGCGTTGGGATTTGGCGGTGGATACCGTCAGTCGAAGGCCATCTGGCTGCAGGTCGGCGGGGGAGCTCCGAAGGGGGTGGCTCCAGTTTCTGAGACCCGCAGGCCCCTCGGAAAACGTTTCCCGGAGAGAACCTGGGCCGCGGGCGGTTGCCTGGGCTCTGAGGAGATGGACGCCCTGTGGCATCCGGCGAGTTGAACAAGGCGGCCGGGTCCGCGTCCCGCTGGCCACGCGAACCGTTAGGCTTTAGAGCGTGGGCTCAGTCAGAGGGGTTTTCTGTTTCTTTTGCCTAAAAATAGGCCAGTTTGGGGTTAAAGACACATACACGCCTGTGGAGCCTGTTACTGTAGACAAGGGGTCCTCAAACTACGGCCCGCGGGCCACATGCAAATACAAACATTGTATTTGTTCCGTTTTGTTTTTTTTTACTTCAAAATAGGATATGTGCCGTGTGCATAGGAATTTGTTCATAGTTTTTTTTTAAACTATAGTCCGGGTTCCAACGGTCTGAGGGACAGAGAACTGGCCCCCTGTTTAAAGAGTTTGAGGACCCTGGTGTAGAGCCTTTTGCTCATGTGACGTCAAAGCCAAAACAGCTGCACTCGGACGTCCTGGCGACAGCGCGCCTGCCGGTGCCGCTCACACGTCATGGTGTCCATGGTCAGACGCGCGGCAACCGTGGCCGCCAAGGGGCAGGTTTGGAGATACGACCTGAAAACACGGGACTGGTTGTTTCTTTGAAATGTGTCGTAGTAAAAACCTGCAGGACTACAGCCCATTCTCCACGTCGTGAAAATGTGAGGCCTGCCTGGCCCACCCGGCGTGGCTCAGGGGCTGAGCGCTGACCTGTGAACCAGGAGGTCCAGGTTCGATTCCCATCAGGGCACAGGCCCGGTTGCCAGCTCGATCCCCAGTGGGGGTCGTGTAGGAGGCAGCCGATCCATGGTTCTCTCTCATCATTGGTGTTTCTCTCTCTCTCCCTCTCCCTTCCTCTCTGGAGTCAATAAGAATATACTTATAAATAAAATAAGAACGTGCGTGAGGCCTGGGTCTGGGCCCGAGGCCCCGTCCACAGCGCCTGACCCGTCCCTCTTGTCCCTGTGCCAGAGGTGCTGCTGGACCCCTGTCGGACCTGGTGCCCGGTGTCCACCTGCCAGGCCGTGTGCCAGCTCCCGGAGATGGGGCTGCAGACGTCCCAGCCGGTGCAGTGCAAGGCCTGCGCCACGGAATTCTGCTCCGCCTGCAAGGCCAGCTGGCACCCCGGCCAGGGCTGCCCGGAGACCATGCCCATCACCTTCCTTCCCGGGGACACCAGGTAGGCTCCCGCCGGGAGGCAGGGCTGCGGGGGGTGAGGAGGGCTTCCTCCCAGAAGATGCTTGGGAACACTGGTCTCTGCCCCCCTCCCCTCTGTTCCTGCGACTCCTTATCACTCCCCAAGCCTGGCTCACGTCCGCCTTTGTTCAGCTTCCCAGCAACAAGGGTGGGGCCGGTGACCCAGCCCCCGTGCCGGCTGGGAGATGGCCCGGCTGATTACGGCATTGCCGTGTCGTGTTATTTCGTCTGCTGTGTGGCTGGTAACTCCTACATGGCTGGTTCCTCTTGCTGCCTCGGTTGGACTCTCCCCCCAGATCCTGGCCTACAGCGGGCACCCCTTTCTAGGGAGGCGCCACCCTGGTTTGCCACAGTCCCCGCCACACCCTCTTGCCTCCCTGGCCCTGACGCTGGCGGTCAGGTGTCTTTTATGACTCACCGTCCACTCGGCTGTTTTCAAAACGAGATCTCCCCGCCACCCCCGTCCCCAAGCAGCGTCGGTCAGCGTTGCTCACGTACCTGACACCTGAGCCTTAAAGGCGTGAGGACGTGTGGACGTGGGGACGCTGTCAGGCTCCTGGCTCTCTCCCTAGCAGGACTGTGCAGAGGGGACAGTGTCACGTGTGGTTCGGCCGGGAGCCGTTGCAGCAGGTAGACTCCTGTGCAGGCCCCGTGCTCCGGGACTCCCCTATTTTAACCGTTTCTGTTGGAAAACGTCTCCTGGGGATGCTCTCCGGGGTGCGGGCCCTGGTCGGGGCATTTCCTTCAGAACGGCTTCGAGTCCCACGAGAAAATCGGTCCCCTGCCCCAAGGTGGGTCCTGCGAGCAGCCACGTGACCGGACCAGGGAGTCACCTCGCTCGCTGGCTTGGCGCCCGGGGACCGTGTCTGCAGCCACCGGCTTCACGGGGCGGCCCCCGCCAGCGTGTGCAGAGCCGGCCTGGCCCAGGTCCACCGGCTCCCACGTGCCCTGCAGCCGCCTCTGACACAAGAGCGGACGATGGACGGCGTTCCGTCCTCACACCTGAACATCTGCGTTACTTTTTTATTAAATATGTTTTTATTGATCTTTAGAGAAAGAGGAAGGGAGAGCGATAGAGAGAGAGAAACGTTGATGAGAGACAAACATCATGGATCGGCTGCCTCCTGCACACCCACACTGGGGATCGAGCTGGCAACCCGGGCCTGTGCCCTGACCGGGGATCGAACCGTGACCTCCTGGTTCATAGGTCGATGCTCAACCCCTGAGCCACGCCGGACGGGCTCTGTGTTACCTTCTTATCAGCAGCGGAGACGTGGCTGCCACTAACCCGGCCCCTCGCGCCCGCCTGCCGCTGCAGCCGAGCTGGTCCCACGGGCGCCTCAGGCCCTCGGGCTCAGAGCGCAGCGTCCGCAGGGTGCGAGTCTGTAGAGGAGCCGCACTGGCCCCGGCTCAGCGCCCTCCTGCCGGCCTCGCCCGGCTCCCCGAGGAAGGTCTGAGGCAGACCCGGGACCTAGCTGAGCAGGTCGCGCGGGCGTGTGGCTGTCGGCTTCTTCTGAAAGTGGTAAAACGCGTAGACGTGACCAGCCCTTTGGGAAGTGCCCCCGCTCTGCTCGCATCAGGGCGGAACGCGTGACCACATCCCCGAGCCTCGGACCCCCTTCCTGAGCCTCCCGTCCTCTGGGCCCGGCTGTGCCTGTGTCAGAGGTGGGGTGTGCACTGCTCCTGCTCCCCCCCCCCACTGAACTGGGAGCCACACTTTCCTGGTGGTCGTTTCCCGGAGTTTTTGTTTCTTCCGTGTAGTTTTACCTCGTTTACTGACAAGCGACCTCAGTCCCTCCGGGGAAGCCCCTGCCCCCAGCACAGCCGACCGACTGACCCCTGGGGCCTGCGGGCGGGGCCCTGACCCCAGTTCTCCCCACAGTTCGGGGTTCAGGCTGGAGGAGGACGACGCGCCCATCAAACGCTGCCCCAAGTGCAAGGTCTACATCGAGCGGGACGAAGGCTGCGCCCAGATGATGTGCAAGAACTGCAAGCACGCCTTCTGCTGGTACTGCCTGGAGTCCCTGGACGTGAGTACCGGCCGCCCGCCCGCCTGCCCGCTCGGGCCAGGACAGGGCGCGGGGACGCAGGGCACCCTTTGCCGAGGAGCCCGCAGGAGCCTCTGGGACCCCCTGTCTCTCTGGTCCCCTGAGCATGACACATAATGGGGTACAGTTGTGCACTTTACTGAATCCCAGTAGCTTTGAGGAAACTGGTAACTACATGGTGTTCTGCTACGTGATGTCGGACCTGCAGCCGCTCCTCAGAACTTTCCTTAAAGAGAAAGGGAAGCAAAACGCATTTTCCGACGGCGTCAGGCGTCCCCGCGTGGCTGTGGGCGAGCGTGGGAACGCATGGTGGACGCGTGTGGTCTCCGGAGCCATCGCTGCCTGCGGCTCCCTGGCCCGCTACCCCGAGGGCCTCGCAGTCACGGGAGGCCAGCCCCACGGTGCCCGCTCTGGGCACAGCTGCCCGCTCTGCTCGGGCGCCGGGCAGTGCCCTCCGCATCCCAGTCGGTTCTAACCGGGTCCCCCCCCCCCCCACGCACACCCCCACAATCAGGGAGGCGGTCCCCGTGACAGAACCGCTCCTGGGCCTGGCAGGCCCCGCCCTCGGGCCCCGGGCGGTCATCGGAGCCAGGCCCCAGGCCAGCGCCCTGTCCCCAGGAGGAGGCGGCCGCCCAGGGTGCTCCCCGCAGAGGGCTGTTGGGTGAGACGACAGCCAGTGTCCGGCCTCGGTCTCCATGGCCCGAAGAAAGGCCGCTCCCCGCCCACACGCCGGCCGGTCGGTGCTGTCACTCCGGCCTCAGAAGGGCTGTCCGGCCGCCCCTCCTCGCAGCGAGAAGCAGCCCCCGCCCCTCCTTTGCGCCCTTAGGGAGCTGGTTCCCTTCAGGGCTGGGGGGGGGCGCCTCCCGCTCGGGGTGTTGGTGGAGGTTCAGGGGCCAGTCGCGGGGTCCTGAGCCTGGTGAACAGCCTGGCGTCGGGAAGGGGATCTGACCACCGGCGGAGGCCAAGGTCCAGGGAAGGTGATCTGAGGTCCAGGTGGCGGTGAGAGCAGCAGGAGGGAGGCAGGGGCAGCCTGAGCCCTGAGAGCCGGAGGGCGCTGCTGCCCCCTCCTGGACAGCTGGGGACATGGCAGCGGCTGCTTCCCGTGGTGAGGCCTCGGATGGGCTGAGCTGAGAGCAGCACTTCCCCGGGGAGAGGTCTGCAGGGTGCAGGGGGGTGGCCAGCGGGAAGGGAAGCCTCGCGGCCAGGAGCCCCTGCCTGGGACAGAGGCGGACGCAGAGGTGGGGGCCCCGGGGACGAAGCTCAGCGGGGCCTCGGGTCGGCCGGTCAGCACCCAGCATCGAGCTGTTCTCCACAGTCCGAGCCGCTCAGCAGGTGTCCCGGGGGCGGGCCGTGCTCGGGCGGGCGCTCCCCCTGCAGGTCCCGTTCGTCTGGGCCGTAAAGGAGGGAGCAGCCGGGACGGGCACTGACCCCTGACCCCGCTCTCCCCCAGGACGACTTCCTCCTCATCCACTACGACAAGGGCCCCTGCAGGAACAAGCTGGGCCACTCCAGGGCCTCCGTGATCTGGCATCGGACACAGGTAAGGGCAGCACCTGGGCTTCCAGCCCAGGGGTATGCGTGTGTGTGTGCATGTGTATGTGTGTGCACACGAGTTTGCGCATGTGTATGCGTGTGCGTGTGTGCGTGTGTGCACGAGTGTGTTCATGCACATAGTGTGTGCATGTGTGCTAAAGTGTGTGCATACATGTGTGTGCATACATGTGTGTGCATATGAATGTGTGCGCATGAGTGTGTGCGTATGTGTGGGTGTGTGCACGTGTGTGCACGCATGTGCACAAGCACATTCGTGTGCCTAGTGTGTGCACGTGGTGTGTGCATGTGTGCTAAAGTGCGTGCATGCATGTGTGTGCACGAGTGTGTGTATGTACGCACATGTGTGTGTGTGGTTTCCAGCACACCTGCCCGTTGGTTGGAGGCCTGCCCTATGGAAACACTGGCTATCCGTGTGGGTCCTGGCTCACGGACAGGTTTTGCACACTCCCGTGCCCTGGGCCATGTGACTTCCCTCAGTGCGGCATCCATGCTGACCTGGGGCTGCAGGAAGCAGCCAGGAGCAGGGCCAGGCGGGGCTGGCACCTGGACGTGCCCCGGGTGCGAGGAGCTGGGCCCTGTCCTCTGCCCTCGGCTTCGTCCCTTCAACCATGATGGCCGCCAAGTGTCCTCTGCCTCGTCCGGGTGTCCCGGGAACCCGCCGTCACGTCTGAGCTACGAGGCGCGTCTCCTTTGCACACGCGCTCATCTGCTTCCTCAGGACGCAGCCCGGACCAGGGCGCGTCGTGCCCACTGGTCTCCCTGCTCCTCTGAGCGGGGACAGGCGCCTGGAACCTGCGGCCCAGTTCTCAGGGTGGGGGGGGAGGCTCGCTGGAAGCCCAACGCTGGTCGCTCCGTGTTCCCCCCGGGGGTGTGCCCGCTGCTGCCCGAGGCTGCGCTGGGGGCCGGGAAGTGCCCCGAGGTTTGTAATTATGTGTGTGGCCAGTACCCCCTCCCAACAGGACCCCGTCCTGGGGGACAGACCCCGCCGCTCTCCCATCCGTCCTGTGCGGTTCAGAGCAGCAGGCACGGGAGGCAGGTGGCAGGGTGAGCAGGAGGGGGTGCGTCATCGCCGTCGGAGTGGACCAGGCCACTGTGGGCACTGCCGCTCAGGCCAGCCCCTGCCTCGGCACCCGGAGCTGCCGGCGGTCACATCTGGCAGCGGCTGCCGTGCAGGGGGTAGGGGGGATGAGGACAGGGCCCCATCCGCGTTGGCGCTTCCTGGGGTGCGGATACTCCCGAGACGGCTATTTTAAGAGGCCACCGTGATGTCACTGAGCGGGAAATCGGGAAGGACTTGCGAGCCGGCCCAGCGCACCCGACGCAGCCCTGGTCCCTCCCCCGTCGGTGCCCGGCCAGTATCGACGCCGCATTCCGATGCCCCGTTTCCGTGAATGCCCAGTGTCACCCCCCCAGGCCTTCGGCTTTGGCCTGGTTCCCGCGTTCTGGAACGTGTTTTATTGAAGATCTTGGGGCAGAGGGTTGAGAGAGTCCCCATTGCACCCCACCCGGGTCACCCCCTAAGCAGGCACTTCCTGTGGGAGGGGTGCCCGGCTCGCAGGGGCCCCGATGGCCACACGCAAGGCCTGCTCCTCAGGGGTGCCCCCAACCCCCGCGAGAAACGCGGAATGAGTGGCTCACGGTCCCTTTAAGTCGGGGTTTGCCGTGGGAAGGATGCTGTTGGGCTGGGGTCCCTCGGGAGCCCGAGCCATGTTCCTGTCTGTCTCCCCAGCGTGTCGTCCGTGTCTGACACGTCTATAGCGCCCACTACCCCGTTACCTCTCTTTGGGGACGTCTGCTTCCCGTCTCGCTCTGTTCTGTTGGCTGCCGGCTCCTGTCACACATGGCACGGGAGTGGGCACCCAGCTGTCGGCGGCCTGCCCAGAGCGGACAGGGTAGCGTGAGATGGCGGTGAGCTGGCCGAGCGCGTGGCAGTCGGTCCTGATTTCGGAACGTGTGTGAGTCCCTGGCCCCGTCAGGACTAACCCTGCGCTCTGAGCAGTTGAGGTTGCTCAGAGCGCCCTCTGGCGACAGAACAGCGTCCCGCGTGTTTTCACGTTTTCTGGACCATCCGTGTGCGCGTGATTGCGACAAACCGGAATCGGAATTCACAGAGCACGCTCCCCCGGTGGCATTCGGACCGGTGGGCAGAAAACACCGATTCGCAGCATTCGCCCAGCATCGAACGTACGGATGCAGCTGATGCGTGTGCCTGTGTGTGGTGGTGCCGGGCAGGAATCTGAGGTGCACTTTCTTGCACAACCTGGGGTGCTTGACACACTGCAGTATTCCAGAGCTTCTGGTCCTCAGAGGTCTCTTACCGCACGTGTGTATTTTATCCTTGAGAAAGCTCAGGCCCAGAGAGAAGCCAACAGTCAGAATTAGACCCATGTGCGCTTGTGTAATTATCCCTCGGACCACGAGGGGGGGCTGTCGCCCCGTCTTCAGGTCTCTATCCTGGCCTCTCTGCTGCCTGGGAGGGAGGCGGCCGGGGGAG